TGATGCCAGCAACAACACGCATCTGTAAACCCAGAGATTACAGTCAGATTGGGATGCAGAGACAAGGGAATCCCTGGAGTCTTATGAGCCATCTAGCTTCCAGGGTAGTATTAAACAATGACTGTCACAAGAAAGGTGGAAGTTGAGCTCTGGCCTTCACATGCACATAATGCCACAAGCATGTCTAGACACACACACACACACACACACACACACACACACCAACTTTTTTTTAAAAAAGGGGGGAATTTCAACAACGAATCAAGTCTCTGCTACAGATAACTCTTAAACCACATCAAATTTGAAGAAAATTAATACATAAATCTTCAAAGTGAAGATTGCAGGAGAGCTAAAGCCAGAGCCTATTCCAGTTGAAAGGTATCTTAGCTTCATTAAGCAGAGCTATTTGCCTGAGCAAGACTTCACATTTTAAAATAGAGAATGGATACTTACATAATGCTATAATCTCTGCCAAGTGTTACCCACAGGAAGGGATTCTTGTCACCCGAGATGAGCCTCTGCCCTCTGGTTTTCATATCCTTACCGTTTCTGATTCAGAGGGCTTTATGGCCCAGCTATCAGGCTTGTTTCCACTTTGACTCAGTTAAATTAATTACACATGCATTTATTACTACACACTATGCCAGTTCCTGAGGAAAATACCAAATAAACAGGGCACTGTATTAAACATATCACTTGTTAACCCTTTCCTTTTGGGGCACCACACTATCAGGGCCTGAACATCATTACTGTGTACACTGCCATGAAGGAATGGAAACACAGCTTCTGTAGATTTTCCCATAATTACTTCTCAGATCTGCTCTGCAAACCAGTGCCCTGTATTCCTCATACTCGGAAGGTGTGGGCAGGAGAAGGCATCCCACAAGCTCAAACTGCTGCCCATTCTGTTCCACCTTAGTCTGAAGTGCAGCACAAGTTCCACAGAACTGTCAGATATGTGTTCTAAATACTATATCATAGTTCTAACTCCCTTACCCTATCCATCTCATACCACTACACTCACCCAGGTGCTACATGAGCTAGTATCAAGACCCGCAGACTATCTGTCCAAGCAGTCTAGATGACCTCTTGTGCCCCAAACATTTACCTCCCCAACAGGAGCGGTCTAAAGAGTAACTGTTGAGAGAAATGGTGAAAGACTCCTTGAGAAGCAACTTCCTGTCTAACACACACAGCCCCAATCCAGGAGTCTCATGACTTTGCTAAGCTGACCTCATGCTGACACAGGACTTCTTTGCTGTCCAACAAGTCCCCAGAGAAATTAAAATATTACTATAGATCTCCTAGTGGCTTCTGTTATGGATTATATCCCCAGCCAATCTACATCATAACTTTTTGATGGAAATTTTCATGTCCTACGATTCCTTGTCTTTCCAGTGACTTGGGTGTGAGACATGCTTACTAAGTGGTTAGAAATATCATGAAGAATTAGGATTTCCTGAAGCATGTTTCTATCAACGAAGCTAGTCTTTTAAATTTGTTAAGTGTTCTTAGTTGTTGAGATCCACAAAGGTCAACTATGGAAATCACAAAGCCCCATAGTCCTTCCTTAGTTCCTCCATCTTTGCTCCTCTCGCCTCTTCCTTTGATGTGGACTGTGAGGATAAAACTAAGTGATATGTTGAGTTCTGATACTCACCAGGTGACACAAAGAAGTCACTTCCTGTCCCTTACTCTCTGTAGTAGGTGGGGCTTTTCTAATATCTCTTTCAGGGGAACATAGTACTTACCAACCACTGCACAGCTGTACTCTCCCTGTTTCTCTCTCTTCCAGATAACTAAGAATTCAATTTAATATTCAGCAAGAATTTTATCATTCTATTTTATATTGCTTTTATAATATCATAGAAATTAATTTTTATATAATCTTATTTTTCATATTTCATATGGTCAGATATATTTGACCTTTTCTGAACATTCTATAAAGTTAAGATGTGTGTTGTGGTCCTAAGGATAAGAGTAACATGGAGATGAATCATGTATTTCTCAATTTGAGAGCGGTTTGATGACATGTTATCAGTGTTACAAATCTAGAAAGTAGCACATTTTTTGTTAGATAAATAAAATTCCTATAGTGTTTTAAGTCATAGTTTGAATATGTTATTTGAGGTAGAATTAGTAGGTAGACTCCTAATACCAAATTGCACCCCATCGTGGACTACCCTTACAAGTCCCAATATTTCAGCATCTCAAAGTGTGCATTAACAATTCTAATGACTTGGAGGGGGGTTGTCCATGTGCATACTGATGCATATGCAGAGGCCAGAGGTGGACATCAGGTATCCTGCTCTGTCTCTCTCTTCTGTAAGGAAGAAACACTGGTAGATGAAGTCCCCGAACTCTGTATTCTATTAGAATTCTTAGACTTGGCTAAGGTACTGAAATTAAGAGTAAAGATTCTTGCCAGTCATGGTACTACTCATTATGTTAAATGGTAACAAAAAAAGTCAATTAAGTTAGAATTTAAGTATTTTACTGTACCAGTATCCCCACACTTACTTGGAGTTTAAAAAAATCTAATAGAATAATAGAAGAAAATACAAAGCGGGAGTGCTGGGGCGAAAGCAATCATACTTTGATGGCTCTCATGAAACCAAATATTGACATTTGAACACCAAATGTTGTCCAACATCATAAATGGTTTGCTGCCAGGGTGATCTTGAAAGGATTTCATGTGGCCCAAGAGAGAAAGAGTGAGCATGATAGAAATCCTAATGGAGTGTAAAAACTGACAGCTTGGTCTTTTTTCTTTATCATAGCTGTTTCAGTTGTAACACCACAACTTTGACTGGTGCCAATAGAAGCAGGGAATGGAGGGGTAAATGGGATTTAATGAAGTCTAGATAAACTGAAAACCAAGATAGGGAACCAAACTAAGAGGTCATTTACTAAGCATACAGTAAGAGTTTATCAGGTATTGGTGACCCTAGTAAGCAAAAGCCAGACAGGGCCCATGTCCTCAGACTGATGAATAATTTTAGGGTAAAAGAGATACTACAAATGATGGCTCTAGGTGGACAAGAAGGCTACCTTTCAAGGTTCTGTAATCTCACTCTTTTATTACCTTATTTTGGACCATGGGAGAGTTGATTGATTTTATTGGCTGTGTGACCACAGGAGTGGAAAAATGATGTGAACTTCTCTAAATTTCTCCCACGGTATTATGAAAGAGAATCACACCTGAGTCTAACTGTAATTTCATCCCCAATGCTTTGTGACTCTGTGACATTTTGTTCTGTATTTGTGAACCACACTAGTGCTTACCACTGATTCTTTGGTAAAACTTCAGAAAAAGGACTTGATTTGTCATCCACTTCACATTATCTCTCACATTATCTTACATCAAAATAATGATTTGGTATTTAATGTTTAATCAATGGAAGCCAAACCTAGCTTTAAAATATCATGTTGTAAAAGTACTTACCATTTTCTTCTGTTTTTAAAAACCAAACATACATTTGTATCAGCAGAATTTAATTCAGATTTTTGTGTGTGTGCAAGAAAGAAACATACTTAAAATACATCATTTTTTCAAATAAAAATCAGCAGTCCTCCCAAAGGAAGAGCTAGTATCTTAATTGTGGGACTGTGACTGTCACAGGACCCTGACAGATCATGTCTTCTACACCATCCAGACACTGATAAAAATTGGTTGCCTTATACACTTAAAAATTTCAGGTCTCAGGGGGTAATAAACATTTAATGTTCACGACTTCCCTTCAAGCTCCTAAGCAGGAGCCTTTCATGTATATTAGTTATGACCATCATTATTATTTGGGGAAAGGGACCTAAAATTCTTTTTTCAAACCTGATAAAAATCTCTTTGTCTATAACTATTATTTATTCATTTAGATCATTAGGTGTTTTTACCAAATAACATCATTCTCTGTTTACATGAGACAATGAATCAGTCAGTGACATCCTTTTTAAAAATTGTCTGCTGTGGCCAGCTACTCTGTAGTAATTAGATCATGAATCCTCATGATGGAATGAAATAGAAATTATTTATTCTGAGAATCTGGCCTATACTAACATATCAATTTTTCTCATATAATTATATGAACACCCACAAAAATATTTCTCAGTATCTACTATGTATGACTCAAGAACCATCCTAGGTACTAAGGATTTGACAATGTATAAATCAGAAAACTTCCTGTTTTCATAGAACTTACATTAGGAAGTACATAAAAGTACCCAGTATTAGGAAGACAAGTGAAAAAAAAAATTAAAATCATGTCTGTGTGTGTGTGTGTGTGTGTGTGTGTGTGTGTGTGTGTAATATGAACAAAAACAATGAAGAAAAACAAAATAGAATGGAAGGCAAATAGTACTGTCAGTTTTTGTTTTGATTTGAGCAGGGAAGTGGGGACCCATTTTTTAATCAGGCAGCTGTAAAAGAAGATGAGAGAAAATGATATTTGAGTAACTTGTGAGAAAGATGGAGGAAGAAAGCAAGCGGGCATCTGGAAGAAAAAGTACTTGGCAACAGAGAAGGCTGCAGTGTGTGAAGACCCCAGGGTAGGAACAAGCCTGAAGAGATCAAGGAAGCTGGGATTCTGGTATGTCTGAAGGTAAGGGAACAAGAGAGAGCAAAGTCAGAGAGGTAGCGTGAGCCTTGTGGGTGTTAGACTTCTAGAATGGAACATTAGAGTGGAAATGGCCCTACTCACACTGGTACACAAAAGTAGCACTATCCTGCTAAAAATCACTTACATCTGTACTATAGGGTCTGAAATTTAAACTAATGAAATGAGTTGGTTATCTGTGAGATATCTGGAAGTTTGCTTGTAAAAGAAGACAGAAGTAGATCACAAAACCTCAACTCCGGACTGAGCCCAGGAGATGAGCTTACAAGGAAAAGACTTGAAACACTGGGCACCAGGGAGTAGAAGACACAGGAGGGAATTTTTTAGGTAGGGAAGAAGATGCAGAGGGAAGCGTCTATGTAAGAATCAATTTAAAAAAACAAATCTTGTAGCTTTGCGCAGTGCCAGTATCGTAGCCAATGAGGTTTATCCGAGGCGCGATTATTGCTAATTGAAAACTTCCCAGAAAACAAATCTTGTACTGCCCATCCCCCATAGGTACTGCAGGAAGTAGGTTTGGCCTCTCAGAGCTGGAGTGGCTTACAAATGTGATACATTTAAGCAATGGCCCAAATCCTGTACTGTATATTTACTTCCCTATGTATCCAAAGGGAAGAGAATATCAAAGGAAAATACCATGGACAGAGAGTGGAAGACAACAGCAGCGCAGAACAGAAAGACTCTAAGAAGATTCCATGAACCAAGCTGCATACCTTCTCGGAGCAGGCATTAGGACCTCACGCTATAGACTTTATTCTTTCAGTTTTCTGAAATCACTTCATGTCTGATTTCATCTGATTAAAAGTCTGGAATTCTGGGCTGCTGCAAAAACACAAACTCTCTCTTCCTCGCTCTCCCCCTCTCCCTCCCCTTCTGTCGTACTCTCAGCCCCTCCCCCCCTCCTCCCAGGGGACAAAGGACAGTGAGATCGTCTTTAACTGAAGGAAGCTCCACTTTTTGAACTTCTCGAGGCCTTTGCCACTCAGGATAGGTATTGCTGGGTGAATTCACAGATAGGAACATCCAGAGCAGGAAAGCAACCTTTCTGGAAAGGAAGTGACTCTAGACTGAGGAGGATAAAAGAACGGCCATCTCCAGAATTGGTTCCTGGGAAGACAGATACAAGTAGATCAATCAACTCCTGGTCTGGTAGTTTCCTCCAGGATGAGTTCCAGCCCTGGGTGGGCCAGGTCCAGGCACAGGGGAAGGGAAAGCACCGGGTGGCAGACGTCCCTTACTCTTTAGATTTATCTGATCCGTGGGCAGAATTGATCCGATGCACTTCTTTCCTTTTCGCTTGTTTGGAAGCCATGCCAGAGGCCCACCCGAGCAGCCTCCAGCAGGGCCCACTGACCGCTGGGCCCCTGAGGCTTCCCGCGCGTCTGAGTCTGCGGTTGCCAGGAGACAGCGAGCGAATTCTGAGAACCGGAAGGCTCCTCCAGCCAGGGCGGGCTCTAAGTGCAGGCAGAGCTTATGACCTAGAAGTTGGTTTCTAAGGGAGGATCCATGATGGGGGCAGGCAACGACAGGAGTAAAAAGATGATGAAAGGGTTCTGTAGCATGCTATGCCTGGGTGTGTGACTCTGAACCTTAGACACAGACTCTCTCAGCTCTTCTACTATGAGAATACAGATATTATTGGTGTCGTGCCCCGCCCCCCACATTGAACATAAAGAGCTCCTTCATTAAATACTGCTGAGTTTGCCAAGGGCTTAAAACAGGTAGATCCAGAAAGAAAACCATTTGTTTAGATGTTGAGATAAACAAGTAGTGTGTCTCATCTGGCTAGGTGAAAGGATTAATCCGGCCATGGAATGGAGGGATGCTGAAAACGCCAGACAGTAAGGAATCTAAGTAAACTCAAAATCTATTAAAGCTTGGAATTGGTGCCCAGGCAGTCTGGCGGTTATCTTGACTTGGGGCTGATTCTCTTTGAGCCTCCTTTGTCCATTTGTTAGCAGGTGATATAACACCTACTCTGAAATGGATATAAAGTGTTCAGCCCAAGATCCAAGGCTCTCTATGTTCCTTCTAGGAGAGGGCAGATAGCATGAATGAATGTAGCCAACAAGCTAAACAAGAAGCTGTGGCTCCTGTGTTCAACTAAGATATATAATATATAATTTTATATATATTTATATATATAAAATATATAACTAGTTATATATTTTATATATGTTTATATATAAAATATATAACTAAGATATATATATAATTTTGTATATATATATATATATATATATATATATATATTTAAAGTAAAATTTGACCCATGGCCCTGAGATTTAGAATCTATAGGTAGACTCTCCCATAAACCTGAAAGTACTAAGCATCTTTAAATAAAGATGCTTAGTAATAAGCATAAGTAAATAATTCCCTCTGGTCTCAGGAGTAAGAACATGCTGAGACTACCATCCAGGTAAAAAGCAGCTTCCCCAAATCAAATCTTTCCACTCTGACAAATGACTGATACTGCCTTCCCCCGCTCATTTGGCAGAGCCTGGGTGACTGACTCTTGAAATACTGTTGAGAGTTATATAGATACAATCAGATAACAACTTCATATTTTATATATAAAATAAATTAAAAGCTGAAGTGTTATATTTATGACTATGGAACAGCCCCCAAACCCTTCCTCTAAACTGTATCTACAGACAATGGAAGGCCCTGCTCTGTTTACCAAAGTTCTAGAATTTCCATAGATTTCTTCTAAATGAAAGTAAAGTAAATGGTGAGAAAACAATATTAGCAATTAATTTTAATGAAGTAATAAGGTACTTTGCTGTAAGTTAATACAGATGACCCATGTGTAAAGTACTTTGCTGTAAGTTAATACAGATGACCCATGTGTAAACATAGCACAGCTTTAAGTAGCCAACCACACAGAATTTCATTATGAGCCAGGGATGTCACTGACATCATTGTGCATAGCTACAAATGACAAGACCCCAAGAGAAGAAAAGCCTGCAAATCAAAACAACCACAGGCCAAACACATTTTACATATAAAGGACCCCCCAGACTTAGAGGAGCAAAGTGTCTTGCCAGAAATCACAACACCTCACCCTGATGGAGTATGAAAGATAGGAGTTAAGAGTGCTGACTTAAGCCAAGCATATCACCATTTCACTCAGAAACTGCTTTCTAAACATCTATTAGGATAAAAATAGAGGATGTCAGGTTGGAGAGATGGCTCAGTGGTTAAGAGACTGACTGCTCTTTCAGAGGACCTGGGTAAATTCCAAGCCCTCACAAGGCAGCTCACAGCTGTCTGTAACTCCAAGATCTGACACCTTCACACAGACATACTTGCAGGCAGAACACCAAAGCACATAAAATAAAAAATAAAGTTTAAAAAATGAATTCTTTAAAAAAAAATAGAGGATGTCACTAGAATGGAATGAGAGGATCACAAATCAATTTAAGAAGTATGCTGTTGACATGCAACCAAGGACCATGTATGAATGTAACCTAGAACCTCTGCTCAGATGTAGCCTGTGGTAGCTCAGTAACCAATTGGTTTCCCATAGTGAGGGGAACAAGGACTATTTCTAACAGGAACTCAAGGACTGGCTCTTTGGCCTCCCCACCCCCCAAGGGAGGAGCAGTCCTGTTAGGCAGCCAGTCCTGAAGATACCTGATAAATAAAACAGGATCAGATGAATGGGGAGGAGGTCCCCCCTATCAGTGGACTTAGCAAGGGGCACGGTGGAGAGGAGGGAGGGAGGGAGGGAGGGAGGGAGGGAGGGACTGGGAGGGAATGAGGGATCGGGACACGGCTGGGTACAAAGTTAATAAAATGTAACTGATAAGAAAAAAATGAAATACAAAAAAAAAAAAAAAAAAGAAGTATGCTGTTCTGAGAAATTTCTAGTCTGATGTTTTCCTGTGGTTATTCTATTAAGAATGCTGTATGGGCAGATGGGACCTCTCTTCGTGGAGTTAAATCACTGAGCTAGCCACAAAAGTAGCATTTGTGTTTCTCTAAACCTTACAATGACATATTGCAAGGGCACAAAAGGAGACTGGGCCTTTCACATCTGCCGTATGTTTATTATTATGATAGATGTCATTCTGAAGTAATAGTTACAATAGCAGCTATGACTTGCTACGTGTCCACTACATGCCAGATTTGGGAAAGGATGCTGGATCCTTTAAAGCCTGAATTAGAATGCTGGCTCTTGTTCACTGAGTGCTCGTGAGCCAGATACCTAATGTCCATTTTCTTTATTAATACATAAATAATAAGAAAGAATAATACCACAAGTGCCCTTGATATGTCATAAGCACTCAGGAGAGTGATAATGTTACCCATGGGTAAAGAAGCTGCATTGCAGAGGGGAAATGGAACAGGTGGAGGGTAGTAGAACGAGGCAGGCCATACTGTAGCCTGAACTGTCCACTCCCTCAGGCTACCCGCTGGTCACATTTCATTATCCTGATGGTTGCCTTTGCTTTCAGTTTAGGGAATTTCAAATTTGATTTCTACGTGACATCTTTCAGAGACTGGGAAAGAAGAGAATAATATTGTTATTATTGCTCCTGCTACTATTATTATTGTTGTTGTTATGATAATAATGGTAAGAACATTATTATTGTTATAATTATTTATTAAACATGTAGCCAATCCCCAGTTACACCTGCTGTAGAGGAAAAAGAAGTTCAACTTAGGGCAACAGTGCACAGGCTCAGGGAAGTAGTTAGAAAGGCACAGTTTTTTATGTCTGCAGAAACAAGCAAGCCTCTGAAGATCTGCCTGAATGTGGAATCAAGCTTTGGTACACTACAGACTATCTCCCCACCATCAGCAGTCCTAGATGACCAGAACAGAGGGAGGGAAGTAGAGAGTACTGGAGAGGGTTGTGTGTGTGTGTGTGTGTGTGTGTGTGTGTGTGTGTGTGTGTGTGTTGGAGTGGGCAATCTCTACCTCCTACCATCTTCACTTCAGGTGCCCTTCAATGCTCAAGTCCACAGGGAGTCGCACAGATCCTGCTGCTCAGTGTCTTCACAGTTAGTCCAGTTATAGAGTTAATAGCTAGGAATTCAACCAAATAAAGTATGAACTCTACATGTTCTTCATTAGAGTGAGAGTCATCGTCATTTCAACTTTCAGGCTTTGTCTCATTTACTCAGAAAACAATAACCTTGTTTACTATAGCAAGCATTACTGTTCATAATGTATGGTACCTATGGTCATCTGGTTTTTTTCTTTTTAAACCTTAATTATGCACCAGCTCTTTTCACTACTGGAACTACAGAATTACACAAAGCAGGAATTCTCCTACTTTTTCAAAAAAATTCAGTTGAACTTTTGAAGTCCCTAAACTCCTGCTGATTGGTTCTTATGACTGCCCAGCTCTTGATTTATGCTTGGCCCACTTCCAAGGGCCTCTCCTCTATTAACTCACAACATGGGGTGACCATCAGCCCATTTTACAGAGAGAGAAAGTAAACTGTCAAAAGGCAAAGCAACTTATTTAAAATCCCAAGCACTCACGAGTTCAAAAAATGGAAATAGAATATAACTTTGCTTCAC